TCACAGTCTATACATCAGACTTCAGACACTGCTCACAGTCCTGCCATCTGCAGAAATTCTCAGATGACTCTGCCATTGTGGGCTGTATCATCAGAGATCAGGAAGCTGGAGTGTGGTGGACAGTTTTGTGGAGTGGTGCGGTCAGGACCATCTGCAGCTCAACGTCACAAAAACTAAGGAGCTAGTTGTTGACTTCAGGAAGCGGAGTACTGCCCCAAGCCCAATTACCATCGTGGGCATGGATGTGGACATTGTGGACAGCTACAAGTTCCTGAGTGTCCACATAGACAATAAACTGGACTGGAGTAAAAACACTGACGACCTATATAAGAAAGGCCAGAGTCGCCTGTATTTCCTCAGGAGACTCAGGTCCTTTAACGTCTGCAGCACTATGATGCAGATGTTTTATGACTCGGTGGTCTCCAGTGTGATCTTCTTTGCTGTAGTGTGTTGGGGCAGCGGGGTGAAGACAGCTGATGCCAACAGACTCAACAAGCTCATCAGGAGAGCAGGCTCTGTCCTGGGAGTGGATCAGGAGTCGTTGGCAGTGGTGTCGGAGAGGAGAATGCTGAGGAAACTTCTCAGCATTCTGGACAATGGGTCTCACCCCCTGCATGACCCACTGGTTTCCTACCGGATCACTTTCAGCCATAGACTGATATCACCGATAACCACCACACAGTGCCACAGGAGGTCTTTCCTCCCAGTGGCAATCAAACGTTTTAACTCTTCACCCTTAAGTAAAGGGAACTGAGAACTTCCACGCCAACACTATGTGCAATATACATATTAATATAATTACCATCATTACAATACACTCGCTGCTATATATAACAATGTGCAATATTATTATTATTAGTATTATTAATAATGATATGATAACGTGCAATTACGTAACTGCCACTACGTTTTATTTTTTGCACTGCTAACTAAATACTGCTAATAATTGCATTGATTGTGTGACCATCTATGTTTCATGTTGTCTGTAGATGTTAATTGCTCTTTTTGCTGCACTTTTAGTGTACAGTTTTGCTGTTGTGCTGCTGTGTTTATTGTGTTTATTGTATTTTGTTACTCTGGCACAACAATTTCCTTCGGGATAAATAAAGTCTTATCTTATCTTTCCTGCTAAATGTGTCAAATATAATAAACGGAAACAATGATGTGATTGATCTATTTGTCACCAATTTCATAAAAATACTGTAAGAATGTAGTATATTTATAGTACACTGTCGTTTTGCTGCTTTTCTCTGATTGAAGTCATACCATCTTTGTTTTTGGTTTTTACAGTTGATCTTACTAAACAAGATATTTGAAAACGTGTAACTTATCTTATTCTAAATTAACTAAATGATAGGCCAATTGTTTGAAAAAAATCTATGTCATGAAAATGAAAATAAGTTGATGCTTACAAACAATGCTGTTTTTAAAAACAAACATTCAAACAGGTTACATAGATAAGTTCTTTCACAACACCATTTCTAATTTGGGTATATTTGGCCTCACATTTTCAGACAGATCTGTCATGTTAACCAGTCTGTATTAATACAAAGCTGTTAGAGGTACAGCTGTCAACAGTTGAATCCATTTTTATAGCCACCAGTGAGTCCATTGGTCTGTGTGTGTGAAGCTAAGTAAAGAGTTAAGGATTAGTGATGTTACGTTATGTAATGGGAGCGGACCCTGGGAATAATGTCTAGATGACTTGTGAGAGACTCCAGCTGCATTCCCACACGTCACTTCACAGACCTGCCTGTTCCATAAACTGTAGCAGCCACACCGGACAGGAACGCTCATAGTTAAAGTGAGAGACCTGCCTCTCGGCTGTTGTTGTGGAACAATGTCAAACTTTCACAGTTCTCAACACGTGTCTATTGCAGATGCTCAGGTTTTCTGTTTGATGCAGGCAACAGGTCCAATAATAGATTTTGACATGGCCAAAAGAATGAATGAGAACGATATTTTTGCAAAAACTATAGAAAATAAAACTATTACTAATGCTATCAGTCAGTTAAGCCTTAATTTTGTGTTTTTATTTGGCAAATTGATGTGGCAGGAGCTTTAATGGAGAAAAAAAACGAGAATGGAAAGACATCAAGATTATTGGTGCTGTTTACAGGATGTTATCATATGTGTATTTAAAAGAGATAAATATTACAATGTTTTTAATATCATGGTTATCGTAAAAAACATTATATCGGTGATCTTTTAGCAGCCCGTGGTGTGACTTTTTTACATTTTATTTACATTAGTGTTGTAATTGAACAATGGTTCATGTGAGACATGAGAGAAAGTGCATCGAGTTTCCTCCCAAATCCTCCTCTTTTCTTCTTCAGGAATTTAACTTCCGGTAGATCCAGATTTACATTTTGTGCTTCTGTTTTATCTGAATATAGACGCAATCCCAAAGTCATACATGAATTTGAATGATCTTTGTATTTGTTGTTATCACTTTTGGTTATAAGAAGATACATTGAGGCGAGCATGAGTTTGTGGACCACCTCTATATAATTCATTCCTGGGAGGCCCCCTGACAGGTGATCTCTCTACAGGATGCTGTGATTCATAACCCTAACATATGTGTCAGAACCACAAGCTATGTATGTGTCACAGTCATAGATTTATAAAGCTCTGTACACTGAGGTGCTGTCGCCGTGTCCCCCTGCACCTGTCTCTGCTGTCCCCATGGGAGTAATTTCCACTGGGGACAGGGGGTACCCCAGGTAAAAAAATAGTATACTTTAGTGTATTAGAAATATAATGTAAGTATACAAAAGTGTATACAAGTATACTTCTACTTTTTGTGCTTAATTGAAAGTATGTTTAAAATGTACTTTTAAAAAGTATAATTCAAAATAGATGTCATTTAGTTCAATTTGAATGTACTAAATATAAATATACTATTTCTGAAATACTTAAAGTGGTATTTCAGTGTGCTTATTAAAAGTGTACTTGAAACTAAGTGTATTGTGAATTGCAAGTAAGTACACTTTCGCTATACGTACTAAATCGCAAATACTTATAGTAGTCATTAAGTATAGCCTACTTATCGAAAGTACAATTCTTTTTTTACTATTTTGTAATACACTATTAGCATGCTTTAATAACAAGTACTTAAATACACTTCATTAGAAATGTATTTAAGTACTCTTATAAAAAGTGCACTTTAATATACGTTTTTCTTAATTGGTACTTCATTGTACTTTTAAAAAGTATATTAACTTGCAAATACTTACGGTGACGTTAGTTTACTTTTGAAAAGTTCAATATTTGCAAGTCATTTGTAATACACTATTAGTATGCTTTATTTAAGTAGACTTGAATTTCACTCCATTAGAAGTGTACATAACATAAGTATACTTACAAACAGTGCACTTTAATGTTAGTTCATTTTAAACTGTACTTCAGTGTACTTTGTTTGTAAGTGTTTATTTTATAACACTTGTGAATAGTGTTCATTGTTTACACCTCTGGGAAGTGTATAGGTCTGGACTATTACCATCATGTAATAATGCACAATGACTGTACTGGTGGCATATTTATAATATATAATTGTTAGTCATTAGCTCCAACAACTAGCTAGCGTTAAACCAGACCAAGGGCTATAAAGTAACGGCTGAAACCGAATAATACTGGACCTGCATCACGTGATGCAGGTCACTCACGACCATAGACTGTATATATATATATACGACGACGCCCAATCACAATGTAGCAGTTTGCGCGCCAACTGTGGTGGAGCCAAGTGCATCGGTGGACGGACGGTTATTGTTTGAAATTGAGCAGCCAGACTACAACAATTCAACATGTCTCTGCTGGACCTACCAACATTTGGACTGTTCTATTTCCCAGACGGTTCGGTTAGAGTAGAACATACATCTATCATAAAGGATGTAAACAGGGCTGCAAAAGTTACAGTTACCTGCAGGGAAGACCTCGATTTGGAGCAAGGCTGGATAGAGGTGATTTGGCCTGCCAAACGTCGACCGTTTTGAAAAGTGCGGGGGACATGTACATGTCCCCCGCACTTTTCAAAATCCTGTTGGTGTCCCCCCCCACTTTTCAAATGTGTTCATTATTTATTTTTTACGCAAGCGGGCATCGTCACGGAGGAGTGTGTGTGTGGCACGAGCGCATTTTTTGTGTGTGAGAGAGAGAGACAGACAGAGAGAGTTACGGGGTTGTTGTTAGCATCTGGTGCTAGCTCGGAGCTAACGGAGATTAGAAGCTGTTTCAACAATAAGGAGAGGGAGAGTCCTCTCCTGTCGGACTGAGAGGCTGAGATAACGTCAGTTTAGTTGAGGTAAAGGACTCGCTGAGTGATTAGATTGTAAACTTTAGTCTAAGTTATCTCAGTTGGTCTCAAACGGTTTGGTCATATGTAAACAAATATGTCCATCTATTTAATATAGTTGTTCAAAATAAGTTAAGAAATCATTCCAATGTCCAGTACAAAAATATTCCAATGTCAGTAAAAAATGTAAAACACAGTTTAAAAGGGGAGTGATTAGTAAAATATGCATAAATAAAAAGAAAGAATGCAGACAAGGTAAAATAAAGATGGAGAGAGGAGTATATAAATGATTTGTTATTGGTTGTGAGCCTATTCTAATGGTTTTTGGAGTATTGAAATATATACAGTTCTGTTTCATATGAGTGTTGAGAGCTGTATCCATACATCTCTTAATTTGTGCACCAGATTGATGCCTTTAACTTCAATTTAAAGACAAAAATCTTCCCGGGGGGATGTGAGGTCATCACAAATGAAACAGGCTAACATGGATAGGATAAGTTTGCTACACTACACATTTTTCTTGGATTTTTTTAACACCATAGTCCCTAATATATTTGTAGAAAGGCAGGAATTAAATCGAGAACAATGTTTCATTGCAGCGGACCCCTGTTTTGTGTCCCCCCCCCACTTCTCAAACCAAAGTTACCTGTAGCCATGGATTCAAGCCCCATAACACAATAAACCCAAGTGATATTTTCATTTAAGGGTGAAGACAAAAAGGAATTTTTAAAACTACAAATCCCTGAACATTTTTAAATGTTTTTGTAATGTTCAGAGGAGGCACTTCAATCCTTTTTTAACTTCCTGGATAATTTAGAACAGTTATATATTTAGGTTGATATGCTATAGGCAGAGCCTATTTTTTAACAAAAGTAATACAATCTCCAATAATTGCTCATTCTTCCGGGACAGCAACTTAACAAAGTTATCACTGTCCGGTCATCCTCTTCTCTCACTGCGTGCATCCCACGCGCATACCTATCCAGGCTTCGCCTCTCGCGCTTCTTTTCTGAACAATAACACACCAGAAAGGTGTTTTCCTACTTTTACGCGTTTACAAACCAGATGCAAACACCGACAGGCGTTGATTTGGCCTTTTATCCAGAGTTTTAGAGTTGGTCGTCTGCGATTCTTGTCATCATACAGATGATCTTCACTTATGCGCGCGCCACCCCGCCTGCAGGAGCGCTGGACCACAGAGAGACGCACGAGGAGGGGAGAACAGTCTGCTGTGGCAAGCCTCACATTGACACTTCATTCTGCTTAGACGGACTTAGACAGAGTGTAGTTGGTTAGAGTTGGTCTGGAGGATCCTCTGCACGCGCATTCCGCTTGCTTCCTCTGTAGCCTTGTTTTCTGATTTGTGACTGCACGTTTAAGAAGCATTCATGGTAATATGCTCAGTTGATTGAGGTCAGTCGGGGCTTTTTCTGCAAAGTGCTGGCAGGTCTTTGACTGTTCTTGGAGTTAGTGCATGTGTGAGATCTTCTGTGCACCCCGCTGATTACTTCTCACATATGATCTGGCTCTTAACAATGATCGCTGAAGGTCACGTTTCAGTGCGTCGCACAACTATTGTGCATCTTTTCTTTTGCGACCGTGACTTGATTTACAGATAACATTTTAAATCGTAAGTAACTAAACCGAGTGTAACAGCAGGGATGATATTTACACATGTGTTTTGACCGGTAGACTAGTTTTAGTCCACTTTATACCCACTATGATTTGGTTAAAACTTTGCTGTGCTCTCCTGCAGACGATCTAGTAAACAGTGTCAAATCATATGTAGCCTAGTTAAAGCGTGCCAGTCTGAAGATGTTAGGAAGTCCGTCAAACAACGGCGGCATCAGAATGCTGGTGCCCCCGGATCCGAACGAAGACAGGCGGGTAGAGTTTGTGGCTCTCACCGCTGTCCACACGGAGAGAAGCGAGCCCTCCAGCCCGGAGCGCGGACACCCGTCCCACCGCACCGGTCTGCTGGGGACCCCGCGGCCCGGGCCCCCCGGACACCGGGGCAACTCGTCCTCTCCAAACAAACGCTTCAGAAAGTTGCAGAACTGCATGTACAACGTGCTGGAAAGACCAAGAGGATGGGCATTCATCTACCATGCCTTCATGTAAGTGTATCATCATTACCTTTGTTTTTATCGGCAAGTAACCTAAATGAAGCACATTTAAAACTTTGTAAAACAACTTTTTAAAGTGTCATAAAGTTAGTGAGCAAATCAACTCACATGCTGCGTAATGCAACGTTAGACTTTCCATGATGATTTCCAAGCATGTGTTTTGATCAGTATACGCCAGCATTCATTTGATTCATTCTCCAATTTACCAAGCAGAGTTGCTTATTCGGCAATTAGCATGGTCGTTTACATACATCATCTCAACATGGGGTCTTCTGTTCAATTTCCTCTTGCCTGTGTCTGATTAAATCATCTGTAAGACCCTTGATCAATTGAAATTGTTCAAATCCACAGGGGTTAATTGGCATAATATCCTTGTGAACATTTGTAATGCCTGCTCATACTTTTAAATGAATGACTCTGCAGTATGTCTCTTGTGTTTGTTGTTGGCATGCCTCACCAATGCGTCTTCAAAATGTAGAGGTGTGCATTGTGTAATGGAAAGGTTTTAATGACAGTGAGTGAAAAATAACATCAGTGTTTTTGTTTGGGGGGCAGGGGGTGGAGTCTTGGGTTAGTCACTTTTTAAGCCACTAACCGTTAGTGGCTTAAAAAGCTGATTGAGCCTGAACCTGTTTGTTGCAGAATTTTCTAAGAGGTGAAGTAAATAATACATTAGTAAAAGGCTTGACCCCATTCTGAACCAGTTACGTGACAGCTTTTTAAGCAGATGAAGAAATATCTCACCAATTAAACACATGCAGTAAACAAAGAGCTCAAACTGAGGCGACCCCACTTATTGTAGAAGGTATTCTGTCAGGACTTTAAAGTACCCATGTGCCATATGCTCTATAATGTATACAACATGTAAACACTGGAAAAGAATGAGCTCACTGATGGCGATGGCTGTTCCCAACAGCTCAGGACTCAAATGTAAAACAGTTAGCACACATACAAAACAAACTGTCCTGAACTGTCATTTGTTTGAATGAGCATGCAATTCAGATTTAACATCTTAAATAACCAAATTGCAACGCTTGTTTTGAAGGTGTCAAAGTGCCAATTAAAAGTCAAAGTTCACTCAGTCAATGTTCACTGTTTTCAGTGTTAGTCACTGTCTTTTTCAGTCGAACCCAGGACAGTTGTACCCCAGCAGCTGTCCTCCAGCTGTGTCTGGCACATAGTGGACAGAGCATTATGTGTGGGAGCCAGTGGCGTAACTATCAACGGTGCAGCCGGTGCAACGCACAGGAGCCCAGAGCCGGCCAGGGCCCCATGCAAAAAAAGTAAAAAATAATAATAATATTTTGCCCCAATGGCATTGACCGGTTCACGCAGTCTTCAAAGTAACCAAGCAACCTAAATTAATTTGTCATTTGTCTGTCCAATGACCTTGCTCCCTTTCATGTCATGTGATACCTTGCGTGACGAGTGAACCGTTTAATCAACCTGCACTGTACTGTAGCTAGCAGCAGCAAGTTCAGTAGCATTATAAAAAATGTAATAGCTTGCATTTATAATGTACAGCAAACCAAAGCACAAGAGTGGCGCTCAAAAGAGAAAGGACAAGAGAGAGTGTATGTCCGTGAGTGTGTGAGCGCATCAGCGTGTGGCGCGCTTATGTTTGGGGCCCAAAACAATATTTGCACCGGGGCCAATCACAACCTTGTTACGCCACTGGTGGGAGCTCCTTGGACCGGGCCGGGCTTTCCGTGTCGTTGTTTAGAAAAGTGCAGCCGTCTCCCTGCCAATGCCATCATGTGTTTACAACAGAGGGAAATCCCACTGCAGAGCTTTTCATATGTGTTCTTATCAAATACCATTAGCACATTAGTGTGTGTAGGTCCGCAAGTCTCACTTTGTCCTTCAGCTCTTTCACTTCTCCCTATTTGTTGCTGCCTTTTCTGTTCTCATGGGACCGCAAACATGTCTTTGCAGCACACACAGAACCAACATGTGTGTTTCTCATTAAGAGCAATGGCCTTTACAGGGTATTGCAGGTGACATTCTCTCTGACATTATTGGGTGTCGTAGATGATGGCATGGCCATCGTTGTTATTTCTCTGTCAAAGAGGCAGAGCAGGCGCTCTGAGGTGCCCAGATCATGTTTCAGATGCCACGGTCTCAAATACTCAGCTTGACGGACTTTGTAAGTGATAACCTCTTTTATATTGCCATCTTAAAGGACCCACAAAATTACCATTTGTACATTACTTACTCACCCTGTGTGACCTTGAAATATAGATTTGTTTTCCTCTCACATGCCTGTACGGTAAACGAAGAATAAAAAAACGGTTAAGTATTGATTTATTGAAGTATATTGGGGCCATGTTTAACAACAGAAAAACTATATAAAAATGGTGTTAACAAACTCTCCCACAACTTGTGTCATTTATTTATGTTTATGCTAATTACTTCCAAATTTAATTTTGCTTAAACCCTACAATGTTTGCCTAGCATCCTTCCTTCTTTGAACAGATTACAAATTGTACCTGGGACTAAAATCTTTTTTTAATATCCATGACATGGCATATTTGAGTGCACATATGTCTGAGTGCATAATTCCCATGTTACTGCATCACCCTGAGATGTGCATTTGTTATGAATAATTACATGTGAAGCGCTCTCTATTCTGAGAGCTGCGCCATGTGTGAGGAAATTCTTTGTATGATGTAGCTCAATTAAGGAGGCGTTGATCTATTGTAATTACATTGAGCCAAATACCGCTGTGTTGGGCTCTGTGATAATAACTTCCCTTGATCCTTGAATTAGTCCTGCATTATAATGGTGGACGCTGAAACATATGCGTTGCTTTTAGAGAGCGTCTTGTCACATGTGTGTGTCGAAGCATGTATGGGAAAGGGGTGAAGTAGCTCTCCGCTGTAATGTCTCTCCACGGGCACCCCCTTACTGTAAGTCCCTCCCTCCACACTCCTCATCCGTCCTTGGTGCTGTCACAGCTGCACATAAGATCCATCCTCTTAGGTGCTGTTAACACGAGAACGCAAACGGTTGTATCCGCTATTTTCTCTTTCGTATAGCCCGTTCGTTCACACGAGGCCGTAACGGAAACTCAAAGATATGAGGATAAGGATAGAGGGAGTCGTATGTTGTACAGATTGTAAAGACCTTTGAGCCAAATTCTTGTTTTTGGGCTGTATAAATTAAATGTACTTGAAACAGTTGCTGATTTAGAGTACTGGCACCTTTTTTATTCCAATTCAAGCACTGGTTTTACATCCGGATGTTCTTCAAACACTCACTGTGTTGCAGCTGTATGCTAATTCAGTTCTTCCTCTCCTCTCTTCTCCTGTCTTCTTAGTTCCTCTCCAGCAGTAGTCAGGTGAACAGACTCTACTAAAAGCCTTGTTTTCTATTCTACCAAGGAAAGGGACGGAGGTGGTTGTAAAGATGCAAAAAGTTGTTAAAAAGGACAAAAGTTTTCTCGGAAGCTTTTGAGGATCTGTAAAAAAAGAATTCCTCTGTCCACCAACCCGATCGGTTGCTCAGACGACGCAGCAGGTTATTGCGTGTGCAAAGCCTCTGGTTCAAACGATGCGTTTAGGAAATGTTAAGTGCCGCTTGTCTAGGTTTTGTCCCTTCACTCAAGCTCAAGACCTTTTTTGTCACCTTTGAATCCCTTCTTTTTGTTACACGTGCTGTTAAACTACCAGCGGGAGGGTCAGTCTGCTTGAGTGAGCTTGTCTGTTAAAGTTTGTACAAACACCAGCAGCCCAGCAACAACATTTGTTTCTGTATAGTTAAGACAAATACCTCATTATATTGTACTTATGATTTTCTGTGTGTATTTTGGAAGAGCTATTGGTAATGACTGCAACCAATGATTAATTTTCATTATTGATTACTCTGTCATATTATATTCTTGATTCATTGTTCAGTGTCATAAAAGTAAAAAGAAATTGTGCAAATCACAAACACATTTCCCCAAAAGACAGGCTGACATTTAAAATATCTACTTTTATCAGACCTGCAGTTGGAAACCCAACGATATTAACCACGCATTTACAACCTTGGTAAAGTTTGTTTTGGTTGGTGTGAACACCTAACTCAAACTCTTGGAAGGACCAAACAATCGCTCTCTGTTCAGGGGACAATTGAACTTTAAAGCCAAAACCGCTCTAACCAATCATAGGAAGCATGTTATTTGAGTTTCATTGAATCACACAACATTTTTCTTGACCAGTAGGCAAATCACAAGCTTTCTAAAATTGGCTTTCTGTGATAAAACAGTTGGATAGCAGAGTGTCTTCCTCAAAATGCGTGCATTATTAATGTATATAATATACGCTCTCTTCACATGAACAGTCCTTTCGATACTGCTGATACGCGCTCCAGATCAGCACCAAAATGAAGAGAACGGTGCTCCATGATGTCTGTCCAGGTAGTAATTGTTAACTGTAATTACCTTTGTTCAAATGTCTAGACCGTTTGAGTTTGGTAATATGTTCTGTTGGTCCTTTCATCTGTAAACCTTCATATGAGCTTGGTAGATGGACAACATTCAAAGGTATCGGTTTCAGTGTTTACCCTCACCTCTGACCGCTTACCCATTTCCACCATAGGCAGCGCCACATATAGAAATCACATGAGGCCGCATGTTTTTGCCCATAGTAATTTATCCCAGCAGGAGGTCCTTTGGGGCTGTTGAACTCCAGTCTAAAACTACCAGTCTCTATTACCAGCACTGTGGAAACCCAACAAACCATGTCATGTCTTGATCTTGGCTTTGCCTGCCATACTCTGTCTGAGTCTCTGGCTCGGTACAGAAATTCACTGGACCCCAGCCTGAACAAGACAGGAAAAGCAGTGAAGACAGAGCACTGACCAGCCAAAGTGATTAATTGTGATTAATAATATACCGGTCATATATTATTGATGTCTTACAGAGCTAAAGAGCAGAGATGTGGAGGGAAATTACAACATGGAGTTATTGGACTTGAGCTCAGGTTTCTTCACTATTAGTGGATTAAAGA